CTGGACATACCTATTTAAAATAATAAAAAAAAAAAAAAGGAGGAAATTTATCTGTGCCTTCACATTTTAATGAAATCAGAATAACATGGCACTAGTGGTTTTTTTTAAGTGGTATGTACCATTGCAAAACCTTTTTGATGTCAGGAGTAGTGGTGCTGGTGTCACTACAGCCATGGATCATGAATTTGAGTCTTGCCACAGACAGGTTTGAAAATAAATGTAGGTTTATTGACATATGAGAAGGGGGTTGGCTTTTTTTTTTTTTATTCTTCTCTGTGAGATTATATGAGGCTAAAAGGGAGAGAACCAGCAATTTCTTCACACTGTATCTTCCCAAATGAAAAACGTGCTCAGTTCCCGATTACCAATACCCAAACGATTGTCTTCATTGTCCTGCTGTTATCTTCATCCTACTGGGAGCTGTAAAAAAGAAATGAGGATTCAGCTGCTTACAGAACTGCAGAAGAAACAGCCTCATGCATGTGGTGTCATGTAAGAAATATTACGTGCAAGTGCTGAAATGATTTATTGTAGTTGCTGTATTTTCTCTGGAATTTATGTAATTACGGCAAAATCACAGTCCACTTTTGTGGGTTTTTTTCACAATTTTGACTTAGGCAACCAAAGTTTTTATTAACCAGGGAATGAAGAACATGTTTTTGAAAGGGATTAAGCAGTGAAATGATGAATGGAACTGTTCCCAAAGCATGCACATAAAGTGATATCATCTAGCTATGGCTGATTTCTGCTCCATCGCTTCAACAGGAAAATAGCTATATTGCTGAAATGATTAGGCTTAGGCTCTATTATTTGCGGTGGTGCTTGACAGTTATGGAGTTGGAATTCAATTTCTTTCATCTAAAGCAGGTGTGCCTTAAAAAAAAAAAAAAAAATCACTCTGCCACTTCTGTATAACGCATGGAGATTGTTGGCTTCTTGCCTGAAAGTGTTTCAGTGCACTTATCCCATTTTCATACAGCAGAAGTTGTCCAAGAATATCATCCTGGTTTAAATACATGAGAAAATTTTCTTTATCCCGAAACAAGATAACAGATGATATGAAAAGCTTTTTTTTTTTTATGCTAGCACATAGATTTAAGAACCCATTTTGAAGGGTATTTTTATAGAAATCTATATTATAAAGCACATAAAGAGGTTGATATTAATTTGCTATTCAGGACAAGAAGAAAGGTGCTCCTTAATCTTGATATATCTGTATTTGATATGACAGGTTAACCTTGATATTACCATCATGTATCCAAATTTTACTTCCCAGTTTGACTCTAAAATACCCTACCTTAGTTTCTGGTAGTGATATATCCAGGCAGCAGTTGTTTATTTGTGAATAGTACATGGTATGTTTATTTTATATGAAAGGACTCCTACAAGTGCCTGCTGCAATTTAGACAGGTTTAGTTAGAACAAGGATTTGAGTTTACACGAACACAAGGTGTGTAATATCTAGAAGAGTATATATAATTATTGGAGTCAAATATAAATGTATGGGCATGTCTCTGCCATATTACATATTTCCATATATCTGTATACACATTTATATGGAAATATTTATCTGGATTTTAGATGTGCACATTTGAACGTGCAAATTTATGTATGTATATCAAATCATAGAATCACAGAATAATTTGGGTTGGGAAAAACCTCTAAATCTGACACTTAACCCAGCACTGCCAATCCACCACTAAACTATGTCCCTAAGTGCCTCATCTCCATGTCTTTTAAGCTCTTTCCATGGATGGTGACTCCACCACTTCCCTGAGCAACATGTGACATTGCTTGATCACCTTTTCTTTGAAGAATTTTTCCCAAATATCCAACCTAAACCTCTCCTGGTGCAACTTGAGTCCGTTTCCTCTTGTCCTGTCCCTTGTTATTTGGGAGAAGAAACCAACCCCAGCCTGGCTTCAACCTCCTTAGAGGTAGTTGCAGAGAGTGAGAAGGACTCCCTGAGGTTCTTTTTCTCCAGGCTAAGCTCTTCCAGCTCCCTCAGCTGCATCTTATAAGAGTTGTGCTCCAGACCCTTCCCCAGCTCCCTTGCCCTTCTTTGGACATATATATATTTGTGTATTTTTATACACAAAGTAGGACATATTATGAAATTTAATGTGCTAAAAAAGGCCCAGTCCTGCTTGCTTTCAGTAGAATCATATGTGAAGAAAGGTGGAGCATGTATTGAGTACCAAATAGGGCAGAGACTCCTAAGTATTCATGTTACACTGACCTGTCTGCAATCAGCCCAAAACTCCATTCTGAAAGCATGTGCCAATTCAAGCCAAAGCACCTCAGGGAAAACTTTCCTGTGTTCATGAGAAGCTAATGAGAACTAAAGAAAAACACTGTGATTTCCAAATCAGGTAACACTTTTTTGTCTGAAGGAGAATGTATAGGGTGCATCCTTTTATTGCAGGAAAGCAGCAGAAGTCCAAAAGGAACACTTCTATAAGTTTTTTTCATCATAAGCTTCTCTGAAACTAAAAGGGAGTTTAAGTACTCATACTGAGCATTACCATAGGTCTTTAAATCCTTTAAGAACCAGATAAGCTTCTGTCATAAATAGGATGGAGCACAAATGGAGACCCACCCCTGGGTTAGCACAGACCTGAGCAGGCAGGTTCACCTGGTGGGGCAAATCTCTGTGTGGAATTATTTGGGCATTTGGGTGCTTCCAGGTCTAGACTAATTACAGTGTAACATGATTCCTCTGGTTTCAACCTGAATACGTGAGCAAGGGTATGTGCTGAAGGTGTTCAGTGATATGATGAGGAAGTCAGAGTCTTCTTTCTTGCTTAAATTGCATTAAATACCCTTAGATTCCTTTGTAACGTGCAAATAGTCAGACCAACATACATGTGTAGCTCGATACTGCACTTGACTTTGCCTTGCTAACCTCATATTAATTCCTTTAATTCCACACTTGTCAAATAACTTACAAAGAGCCAAGCCGTTTTTTCATAAAACTCCACAGATGACTAACTTGTGTATTGACTGATGCTGAATAGAGCTTGTATAACTTGAGCACCCTGATTTGTGGTTTAATGCCTCTCAATGTATAAATGAGCAAAGCAATAGTGATGTGAAGGTCACTAGCTGCAGCAAAGGCTTGCCTAATATGAGAAATTTTTTATTAAAAACATCACGTATTTTCAGGCTGTACTGAAATCAATAGGATGTTTAATCTTTGGGAGGTAGTCACTGGGTTCATTCTTGGGCAATGGATGCCCTGTTGCTGTTCAGTTCACTGCTAAATTCCACTGTTAAAAATATCTGCTATAAGATATGCCTGTTCTTAATTATTATTTGCTGTAACTGGCTACACTTCTCAGTACCTTTAGGCCTTAGAATAAATATTCAACAGACAGACAAGTTTAGCACATTAATATTTAAACTCTTATTGGGAACATACACCATCACGATAGCTTGTAGTGTGATATTAAGTACCATTTATATCTAACTAGATAACATTGTTTAACTTAAATTAATTCTGTCGGCTTAATTAATGCTATTACTTTAATCCATTTAAGAAGGCAAAAACAACAAGGAAAGCGTGATGGTATCAGTTAGGACAACAGATACAATATCAGTTTCAGCTTTAGGAAAAACTCCCAGTTGTACAAAGTGATGCAGTGATTGCCTTGCTAGTCCCTTTTGGGACTAATGCCAAAGTTTTTAACTGTAGTTCCGCTGGAAACGAGGTTTGTTTAGTCTGTTTTGTTTGGGTCGCCCCTTGCAGCCCTCAATAAATGTGCTCTAAGGGCTGTTTTGATTGTGAAAGTCAGCAGGAGCATTTGTCTTCATGTCTGCCACGAAACTTGCTAAATTATCTGGATCTCTCAGAGAGTCAATACAAATTAAAAGTACGCAGAGGGTTTCTAAGAGAGTGATTGCTATTCCAGCAAGTTCATTAGCCTTCCGAGGAATGCTGTTGGCAGGCTTTGTTTAGCAGAGGCCCAAAACAAAGTAAACCAAAAATGTCAGAAAATGAATTGCAAATCAATTGGCAATATAAATGTGAGGAACGGGGTGTAGATGATGAATAATTTAGGGAAATGTATATTGTTCCTCTAGGAATTCCTCTAGGAACGATACTGAAGATTACAGCACAGAGAGAGGGGAATTAACTTGATTAGGCAAATATGGGCCATCCAGCTTTTCCAAATTCACTGGCAAAAACAGACTCCAGGCACTGTTTAGATGGTGGGAAAAAAAGGAGTTCTGCAGCGAAGTCTTTTTTTTCCAGTTGCCTGCATCTGTCTCCTTAGTGGTTTCAGTCTACACTGTGAAAAAAAGAATCTGCTAAAAACGAATTTTTCACTTAAATTTTGTGAGAATAAATTGAAGACCAAAAATTAAGTTTAAAGGAACAAATCCTAAACTGATTTAACTAACTCTCCCAACTGCCTAAAAGAGGCAATTACCTTGCATCTCCTTCCCCAGGAGAAGGAGGACAGCAGGATTCACTCAGCTTCAGGTGCAGTCACCTAGATCATCCCTTGTCAGCTGCTGCTGAAGGAAAGGAAAAGGCTGCTCCTCTCCAATTTAATCCAGGTTTTTTTGACAACTTTTACATGTCACTGCTACTGTACTGTTCCCATTATTTGAGGATTCATAACAGAAACAGAGCAAAGCATGAGTTTTAATTCCCACAGCAAAAGATAGTGGTGAATCCAGCAGGGAGGAGAGAAGGTTGCAGATGACACAGGCAAGGCTAATGTGCTCAGTGCCTTTTCTTCAGTCTTCTCAGAAAGGTTAAATGTGACAAAAGGTTTGACATGATCAGATTTAACAAGGGAACAGGAATGCAGGGGAGAATAAGGAAGGAAGTGAGTATTTAAATTCAGAAAAGTCAGATTTAAGGTCTGTTTACGAGGTTAAATGGCTGGGCAATAAACTGGGATTTGAATTTATGTGATACTATCTACTGTGTATTAAATCCCCATATGGAACATCTTAGCAAATAAAAGGGTCTTTACATGAAGCAGCTTTTCCAGGTCAAGAGATCCTCACAGTTACCCCAGCACATGTAAAGATGTCGTTTTTAAAGCAGCAGTGATTTGCTTTGAGAACTCCCAAAGGATATAAATAGCCCCAATAAGCATAGTACATGTCTGTAAATGAGGAAAAAGAAGGAAAAGTAAGAAAATGACAGCCAAAGATTCAGACTCAGTTGGTATCTGGAGAGATATTACCATAAATTATTAAACAGTCAATTTATAAGCTCCTCAAGCTTAGTAAGGGAAGCAGCCACTCTGTCCACAAGGAACAGATGTTTTTCACTTTAGAGAGACTTCTGATCTGACTCAGACAGTCATGCCAGTAAGTATGATTCATAACAGATAAGTAAGGAGCAAGGCCTGTTTGAGAAAGCATTATCAAGGAATAATTTTATCAAGTCTGTAGCTCCTGATTTTTCTACTATTCTGCACTTTCATTAATGTCTTAGACAATGAGATGTCACATTTTTGAACAATGTTGCACTTGGATGCAGTGCAAGCAGGCTTAGAATTAAAAATCTTTTTGATAAATGGGTGAAACAGCTTGAAATCCATAAGAGAAAATTAAGTAAAGACAATAAAGATGGTGCTTTCAGAGGAAAAGTCAACTGCACAAACACCAAATGGGAAATAAATGATAAGATTTCAGGACTGTGGAAAAGTCTGAGCTGGTTGTAAGGCTGTCACAGCAAAATGCAAATCTCTTCCTGTAAATTTATTAATCAGAGACAGGAAAGCCACACAGGGAGGAAGATGCTGGGCTACAGCACATCAGGAAGGACATGGAGAAACTGGAGTTTAGACAAGTGACAGAGAACAAGGATTGCAACTTGGTTGGTTTAGCTTTGGAAAATGGGATAAAATCAGGCAGCAGAGACTCTAATTTTCTTCAGATGTAAATGTTGTCACTGAAAGAACTGAGCTAACTTTTTTCCCACCAAGGTTGCCCAAAGAAGTATCAGTTTTGCTTGCAACAGATTTGGTTTATGTTCAGTGTTAGGAAAAACAAAACTGTGCTCTAATAATGTAGTCAAATAATTGAACAGTTACTTAGATAAACTGTGGAATTTCCATGACTGACAGGTTTAGAGAAGGAGTTGATTAAAGCCTACTCAGATTGTTTGCTTAAACCCAAACCAGTCTGATAAAGAAACTCTTGGGAGGCCTATTGTCCCATTTTTTTAACAGAAATATGGATATGTGTACAATTTACTATAATCCATGCTAGTAAATAAGCTTTGTATTTTGATGTCTCATAATTCTGATTTTTTTTTTTTGCAGGGGTAGCTCATTTGCTTTCATGTAACATAAGCCATGTAATTTAAATTAGACACCATGAAATCCAAAATTTTAATTACTAGCTTTGATTCTAGCTCTCAGCAAGGCTCATGGATTGAAGGAAACCTGTTAAGTCCCTTTTATTCAGAACATTTCCTTCTTCACATCAAAGCAGTGCACGTCCCTATCAGCTTGGCCAATCAGTATTTCTGCAGAATAAGCCCTGAAAATGAAGAGGGCTTCAAACAGTCTTAAAAAATGTGAGATGAATCATTGCTAGCGCGACACGTGTGTTTGCATGTGCCACCGATGACTTGGCACTTTGAACATACGTAATTTGAAAAGTTTGGGGTTTTTTTTTCTGCTTTATTTTTCTTCCAGGACTGATTTAGTGTGTAATAGTTTATTTATGTGATAAAGGAGGGCTGATTGTTTGATATAATATTTTCTCTTAAGTGCAACAGAGTTCTGATTCGTTTGTGAAATTAAAAATACCTTACTTTGCACACCCACAACTAGAATAATGCTCTAAAGAAATTCCTGGTAATATTGGTCTGATGGATCCAAAAGGGCAACTCTTGACCTACCAAGGGAATTCTCCTGGATATAAGCACCTGCAGAGAATAATTCCAGTTTATCTTGTCTTATCCTTGCTTCCATTTAGATTTCTTCTCTTAATTATTGGAGAAAATGTGCACCTCACTTTCTTAGGCCCCAGCCAACCTGTTTAATAGATTTTTTTATATATGGAAAATTACAGCACTTACTCATCTTATCTACATCAGCCTCATTCTGGTATTGGTGTAGGAGCTGTAGTCTACTATGAGAATGTACCTGCTAGGAAAATCTATACAGAACTTTAATTGTGATATTAAAATCTAATTATCATTAACAGAATTAAGTGACTATCTGAATAGATTTTCATGCTTTCTCTTAATGCTTTGTGTAACTGAAAGGAAAATATGTTGATTTTTGCCCCCAGCCTTTCAGTGCAGGTAAATGAAAGGGCAACCTGCATGTTTGGAGAGCTGGAAACTGGGCCAGTCAAGTGGAATAGTGGAATAGTGTTTGAGTTACAGGAAATGACTGTGGCTTAACAAATCCCAAATAGTTTTGTCTTAGTGGTGATGCAGGGCATAAACTGGACTTGAAGACACACATTGATGTGATGGTCAGGTCCAGCCCAGCTGTCAGATGTTCTATAACCTTGCAAACCATTCTAGTTGCTGGACATATCTCATGTCTCAACTCAATGCAAAACCTATTTGCATGAACTGGACTCATCTTGGAAAAGAACCTCTAACAAAGTTACTTGGAGAAGTAACAAAGATCCCCCTCTGATCATGAGAATGCTTTGGTGTTTTGCCTTTGGGTAGGTCTGTAGTGACATTTGATGTAGCGTTTGAGGTCAAGCTCGTGAGTTGTCTGTGGACTTTGAAACTGGAGTGGAGAAGGAGGGAAGAAGAGTAATTTTTGCTCACAGACCTCCTGGGTGCAAGACCTGAGATTTCATGTTGTGAACAGGAGGCAAAGTTAGGAAAGCAGGGAGGTGAAAAGCAAGTGAGGGGTGTCTAGAAGGGAGGAGCATGTTGTCCTTGCAATTCAAAAAGCTTCCAGACTTGCCTGGACAGCAACTGGGTGCTTTTCTCCAGGTTTTTCTCTGTAGATGATTAGTGGATTTGGACAGGAACACTGTATTAAGGATTACCCTAACTATCAGAATAGACACACCTTTCCTGGGTTCTATGATCAACAATTAAACTGCTCCATAAGAGAAAATTTTGTCTGGAACTTTTGTACAGGGTTAGTTTGCACCTGAGCAGTCATTAAATTTGCTTTAAAATATTCTATAACTTTATTTACACCTTCCATAAGGTTAACAAAGCTTTAATCCATTTACCTGGAAACAATTTCAGTCACACGTGGGTATTTTTGTCCTTACCATAAGGTTTGGACCTTACCTTCTTTTCACATGCTGAACCAGTGTAGCCACTTCTGCAAGCACAGACATTTGGTCTTACGCATCTGCTTCCAAATAGACATTTTTGCTCACAAAGTGCTAAAGGTGAAAGACAAAGTTACTTAGAAATACAGTTATTCTAAGTCTTTTCATTAGGAAGTGAATATTTAGATGCTCTTGAAAATTAAACATGGTTTTTCATAGGCTTTTTATGCCTGTGTGTCTCTTATGTTTACAATTTCCTTTACTTTTTTTTTTTTCTTTTTTTCCCAGTGATGGGGAAAGGGAAGACTGTGGCAAAGTAATAACCTCAGCTCAGCTGGAAATGGATCAGTACTAGGCCCAATTTTGAAAGCCAGGATACATTTTGGGCCTTGATCTTTGGGTAAGATCCGTGCCCAAACTGATTTTCTTTCGTTCCAATTGAAATCAACAACGGCTGTTAAAAGACGGTGTCTCGAGTTGAGATGAAGAAATATGTTAAATATGTACTTCCAAAGGTGATGGTAACACCATAAATAAATAAATGGGAGAATGTGATGAACTACACACTTTGCACCTCTGGAAACCAGGGTATAAGAACACGCGATTTCATGGGCACACAGAATTAGTTATGAGCTACTTATCCCAAGGAAAAAAGAATCAGAAAAACTTTTTTATCTTATTTAGAGTGCCAGAGTCCAGTATTCATAGAGGCCCATTAATCTGAAGATATTCTGTTAATGAAAGAATCAGTGTTTTATTTTTTGTTTAAGAGAGAAAAAATAATTAGTCATATTTCAGCTAGTTTTTCATCCTCATTAGCAGTTTCAATTGTTATGACATTGTTTTGGCATCGAGGAAAGAGAACAGCCAATTCATAGGGCACCAATTCAAGAAGAACACACATGTCACAGTATTTTAATTAGATCTCATGAGTTAAACCTTCCATAAATATTGCCAGAATATTGTATCCTAGTTACAGGCAGCCAAATTAAATGCCTTCAAAACTGGTCAGAAGTGAATCAACAAGTGGCTTTTTATATTTTCTTGTGTGGCAGAGGCACACAGGAAGCTGCCAACCATGCATCATTAAGACAGAGCTGAAAATAAAGTAGATCCATGTCTATGCTCTAACACCATCTCCTTCTTCATAGAGCAAAATGTTCCATTGGTTTTGAATGAATATTAACTTTAAGAAATTCTGGGGCTTAAGGATCAAATTCCACACTTTCAGTTAGTTGGACTTAGGTTCTGATTTTGACACAGATTTATGTTCATGCAAATTCTTTGTAGTCTCAGAGACAGAGCAGGTCAGTGAAGTTTCTTTAGGAAACACTATGAGATCCTAAGCCTTCCAAATGTGATTCTCAGAGCTGTAATAATGGTTATAATGACCTTGGGAGGCCAATGGCAAGATGTTTAACAAAACCTGGAGTCTGTGTTGGTTTTGTTCTATCATCAGGGTATCGTGGCAGCAAACAGTCAGTGAGAAGGCTGAGATTTTGCCAGAGTAGGGAACACTAAAATCTAAATATCTACAGCAAACTTCAGACCTGATAGCTATGGAGCAGAGGAGGCAAGAACCAAACTTGCTGCCACTGTACACATCTTAAAGAAAAGAGGCTGTAAACAGCTTGGCAAACTGCTCTTACCCTTTTGAGTACAGTCAGGTACTGAGGGTTCATGTTGTGTCAGAACCACTGACCCATAACGTGTCCAGAACAAGAACACCCACAGACCTGCATGTGCCGCTGACCTTCAGGTGCTCCTGTTTGAAAAGCCAGCTGTGTCAGTGGTGATTTGCTGTAGGACTCCAGTGACCTGGAGCTGGGAACTTGCCTTCCTGGTGTATGAGCTAGTTGATGTATTTCTGATGTTTCGAAAAGGTGAAAGTGTTGTTTTCTTGAAACAAGATTTTAGGAAGAAAACAGGGTTTTTTAGGTGTCTTTTGCAAAACATTCCTTAAGATCCAGAATGGGCAATTGCAAACTTCTGAATTTCTCCTTCTTCTGGGAGGTGAAGGCCCAAGTTTGAGTTCTGGGTGTGGATGGGGCAGAGGAGGGATGGAATGACACTCAAGTTAGAACAGTGAGCTCATCAGCCACTGACTGCTTCTCCAGCTCCTCCATGAACCTTGAAAGGGCTCAGATTTATAATTGGAAAAAGTTTCATTCACTGGAACAAAAACATGTCAGCACTGTCAGCAGAAGGGGCTCCTTGTGCCCACTCCAGTTTTGTTCCTCTGTATGATAAGTAGGAAGAGAAAGACCACGGTATGATATTATTATTATTAATGAGATAACTGTATAAATTTCTATTATTCATTTCAGATGAACTTGGGCTGGGGAAAAATGGAACCTGAATCTCCTTTCAGCTTGGTAGTGGATAAAATAAGAACAGGTAATGCAAGGATTTTTCTGTAGACCCCTACAGCATCTGGGGTGTTCTGGTACACATGGGCAGAAGAAGAGGCATTAGATAAAGTACTAGGTTGTTTTTTTTTTTCCTACCTGTGGTTTCTCTGGTGCAAACAAACTAAAAAAAAAGGGAAACTATTCCCACCTTTTTTCATCCTTTGCTACCTGCCTGTCTCTCTGTGTCCACCCTCTGCTTATTCCTGTAGTGCTCAGAAAAACAAGAGCTCAGTCAGGAGAAAAGTTAAAAACATTTTGGAGGAAAATTGGAATTGACATCACAGGAGATAATAACATAGCTGAAGTTCAAATGAATATTTCATAAATGTATTTACAAGGGATGCTAAGCCTCTAAACACTAAAAATGACACTGGCTATGTATGCATTATCCTGTACAGATTCAGCAAAGTCATTTAACAAGCTAAGCTTATGTTAAAATTATAATCAATAAATGCCAATTACAGAAAGAGATTTATCTCTGCATGTTAAAAGAACAGAGCTGTAATTTGCATGTGAACGACATTCCTTTCAAAAGAATTTTCCTTTTTTTAAGGTTTGAAAGGGTTACACAGGAAAGCTACAAGAAAACCTGCCTGAGATGTTGTTCAAGGAGAGAGAGAGAAGGGGGGAGAATATTGAGGAAATTATAAGGCCATAAGCTTGACACTTATAACATGCAAATAAAGAGAAGATATTCTGAAGGGCAATGAGGAGCCGGTATGGATTCAATAATATTAGAACAGAAGATAGCAGCATGAATTTTAATGATGAAGATCCTTCACAACTATAACCTTCTTATACTTTATAATTAATTATTAGAATTGTACCTTGATCCTGCATTCAGGGCCTTAAAAACCAGAGTTATACCCCTGGCTGGAAGCCTTCTGAAGATACTAGGTTGTGTTTTGGCTATATTTGTTGGGATAATCAGATTGTCCTGCCAGGTGTTGACTTATTTGGTCTAATGTTTCTTTCCTAGCTCATGAAAATAGTTATGAGTTACCACCATGGGAGGCAAAGGGAAGCCACAGGCTGGAGCTTTAGACTGGATATCTAATATGGAATGGGAAGGAAATCTCTAATGGGAAAACAAGGTGACCCTTGGATACTGTTTCTTTCTTCTCACAGAGAGAAATTGAATGTTTTTGCTGCTGCCATGAAAGCTAAAAACAAGAGTCAAACCAAACAAACAAAAAAAAGCTTCTAATAGAAGAAGCCTAATCTATAAAGCTTCTGGTTTCTATAGTTGAGACATTTTGAATATTTCAAATTACTTTTTTTTAGCCTGTTCTTCCAAAAGTCTATTTCCCTACATTTGCGGTGCAGCCTGAACCTTGACCATTATTCCTTAAACCGGGCTCCTCAAAGTCATAGGTATTTATCAAGGATAATGTGTGTATTCCACCATACACCTTATTTGTTGGGACAAATGACCTATTTTATCGATTCTCTTTCAGAAGCCATTCTGTTCAGTTACAGATGAGTGGGGAAGAAAACTGTTCTTTTGACTGACCTCTTTATTTACAGTCTGACAAAGGAAGACTGTTGTGTTTTATCCATTACCAGTGCCTCCTAGAAGTCTCTTCTTTTAATCTTGCCCAATTTTTTAGTTTAGTTGTAGCCAGAGATGGGTGAAACTGTAAATAAATAATCCTGCACAGGTGTCTCTGGAATGCCATCGTGAGTTTGGCTGATTGTAGCATTAAGAAATCAAAATTCACGGCATTACACAGACATGTAATTTTATTGTGCATCACTGCAAAAGAGGCAGAGTTTTTGCAGTGTGTTTCCATCCCCAAAATGCATCAGACCTGTTCCAAATTAGATATAAGCTCCTTAATGTGTGGTGAACACCTCTGATATGACAGAGGTCTCTCTGAGGCATTTTCAAAATATTTTAGACATAAAATTATCCTGACTTAGACATTGCCAATCTTCATTACAGGAGAATGGAAAAAATTGTTCTAGGATACAGCCACTGGCTTTGTCTGGTGGAAGGCTGAAGCATTTTGAGCTATCACTTGTAACAAAGATCTATTTTTTTTTTTTTCCTGATGAAAGGTGGGAGAAAGTCTGAGACATCGGTATTTTCAATTGTAAATATTTAATTTAATTATTAGGGACCTAAAAGCAGAGAATATCATGTTTTTCTTTTTCTGGTTTTATAGAAGACTGAAGAGAAAAGATTTAGTGAAGATTTATTGTGGCAGCTGTATCTACTGCTGCCTCCAAATATCTTCTTGAGCTGTCCATGTAGGCTTAGAAACTGCACTGATGAAGGTAATCTGTGACTTTTTAAAGATAAATGAAGAGTAGATGGTCAATATAAATTTTTAGTATTGGTCCATTGTCTCCTTTGTTGGCTTAATAACCTACTCTGGCTATCTCAGTAGAGAAGACTGAAACAATTTATTCCATCTGAAAAGTGTAAAGAAAAGAGTAGTGGAAGTCTCTGTAGATCCTTTGGTTTAGTCACCCTATTGGATGTGTGTTAGGAAAAAATGATGTTCAGGGTGTAGATGAAACCTGTATCTGCATTTCCATCTCTGCCCTCCCTGAATCCACAGGCTGAAAACAAAGAATGAAGCTGGGGTTAATGAATCTTTTCCTACCCTAGAAAAAAATCCAGAGAAACAGTCCAGACCTAATGGGTTCTGGATAGTGGAGAAGGTGCAGTGATTGCTGAGAAAAGTTATTCTCTGGTTTGTTACCTTTAGAGTGAGGTGAAAAATTTACATTATGAAATGGAAACAACCGAGATAAATAAAATGCAAACAAGATTAATCATATGAAAAACATAGAATTAATAGATAATATCTATTATTAGATTCACTCATAGTATAATCAGCAATAGTTATTGTTTCAGTACAATGTTATAGAATAAGTATAAATATTAAATAATATATTAAATAATATTTGAATATAATGAATAATATGTTGCTACTACTTTCTTCTCTTAAAATGTGAATGTTTTGCCCTGTTGTTGACTTTAACAGCCAAAGTCTGTAGTTAAAGTTTGCAAATCAAGGCCATCTTCAACCTTGTTGATACTTTAGTGAAGCCCAGAATTTGGGCACACACATGTAAGCAAGAAGGGGGTGCTGAGCACAGGGAAACCTCAGGAGATTAAAAATGACAAAGCAGTTTTGCCCAGGGGAGTAGTGAGATGAACCAAACACCTCCTTGCCAGAAACACGCTGGCTCTGGCAGAGTATGTGGATTTGGCCCACTATCCCTGTGCTGCTGGGAGATGGGAAAGGGGCCAAAGCAAAACAAGGACAACAAAAAGAGGTAACCAGAGGTTGGTTACAGTCAGCAGCTTTCATGGCAGTGCCAGAGCTGAGAGGAAGGTGAGAAAGGGGAGCACTCAGGAGGCTTTTTAAATTTAGACACATAAATATATTTTTTCATTGAGTTCTGGATTTGAGGGAATAACCTCCCACTAAAACATAAAACCTGACTTGTTTTCAGGGGTTACACTTCTATGCAAAATTTTCTGCCTAACATCTGTGAGGATGAAGGCTTTCCTGTTCCCCTGCTTCACCCCTGCCTCACTGTGGATACCCTGGAGCAACATTGTAAGACCTTACCATCTGCTCCCTGACAATAGTCTTCTCTCTTTCCCCTTAAAAACCCAGAAATTCCAGCCACTTGATGATTATTTGGGTTTGCTGTGGGACCTGGGATTTTGAGCCAGATCCTTTTGGACAAAAAAACAACAAAAAAAAAGTGATTTAATCTCCCAATATAGTGAAAACATGGGAAGAAATAGTAAAACCAGAGTGATTAGCAAGTGAAGGGATTTGGAGTACAATTTCAAAGGTTATGCAGATCTGTAAAAAGTTACCTGGGCTTGTGTGCCTGCATAGCACAGCAGAAATTGTTAATGACAGTGAGCCTTACTTGTCTTTCACGGGAACAAGCACGATTTGTTTATTTATTTAATAAACTGAGTCAAGAGTATGTCACCAATGAATAAATAACTTTAAACATCCCCCGTGTTTGAACTAGAAGACAGCTGGCACAAAGAAACAATTACACAGCCATTGGGATTTCACTGACAAAAGATTTCCATAAGTAATTATGCTCTGCCAGTGTGAGAGGAAAGGAAGATTGCCCTTTAAAGGGGAGAGTGCCTTGATATCTTCCTCATCTCCTTATGCTGCAAAGCTAATAGCAGGCACAAACTGCAGTGACCCTCTTTGTAAGTGGCAATAACAGATCTCTTCCTATTTCAGGTCTTCCAAGCCCTTCAAATGCAAATATTTCCAGCCATCTTGGTGGTCAGTCTGAAGATGGGGGATTTACAGTGTTTGGCTCTAAGGTTGGCAGATACACAGGATTTCTTTCAGTGCTTAATGCCACCTGGGTATTTCCTTTTCTCCTTGAACCCTCCTTTTTCACCTTATATTTCAAATTATTGAATTTTAAAACTATTTGTTTTGTCTGACAGGTTGAGCTCATCATCCACACAATGAAAAGATGAGTCAGGCCTCTTTCTCACACTGATGTTGAGTCCAGAAATGTCTTTGAAATTAATAGCTTTACTGGCAGCATAGAACAGGTCTGACAAATAAAAGGCAGAATTCAGGTGCTAATCACGTTATGGTTGACTTTTACACATAATGGAATCACAGAATCATTTAGGTTGGAAAAGACATTTAAGATGATCGCGTTCAACCATAAACCTAACAAAATATACACATAGGAGAAACTTCAATGCATAAAAATCCCCGGTGCTATGTGCATGGTTACAAAGCTGTGGTAAATGAAGGATCACTTACGGGTCTGGCACAGCATTCCCACCCATCCTCTGGAGCACTCGCAGATGTTTGGACCGACACATTCTCCACCGTTCAGACATTTCTGCAGGCAAACAGCTGAACAGGTTGACATGAAACAAGTGAGAAGATGTACGTGATGTATCTGTGTGCTCAAGGTCTGTCTGAAAGGTGACCTGCTAGGCTTTGTTCCATCTGGCTAACTTCCAGAGAAGTGAACGTGTTCTGTTCGTCAGATAATCAGTATTCCATGATATTTTCTTCTTAAGAAATTTATCTTTGATGACTCTCTACTGGGAGACTTGCCATTTCTTAATGCTCAGCTCACCATCAGCTGAGAATAATCTCCATAGGACATATTCATGCGTGTCATATGCCTATTATGTGTTCCATGTCAAAAATAAGTATTTTCATAGTAAAGTTTGATATGTTTGTTACCTATATATTGTTTGTTCAGAGATCCTGAAAGAGTGCATGATTTGGTGCATTTGTGTGAGAGACACTTCCTTCCTTCAGGATTTCTGAATAAATTATTAATATTATAAATTCAAACCACTGGTTCTGAAATCATATTTACTATCAGGACCCAAAGGGTAAAAAGCCAATATTTTAATGTGGTTTACATACAGGTTGTCATCTTGATTATAAATTTATTCAGTTTATCTGTCAACTTCATGGTAATGAATAGCCATGTAAGGAAAAATGTTCCTTGAAAATATTTCAGGGTGAGAGTTTTTTTTTTTTTTAATTACATTTTTATGTAACTGTAGTCAGATCTGGTAGAGTTACAGAGTAAGAACACGTCATTCTCCAAATTATGCACCAATGACCTTGAGAGTACATCAGTCTGGAAGGCTTTATAGCAGGCTTTAAATAGTTCTGTATTTTGAAATATATGACATTTCTCTGCAAAATATAACAAAATATGTGAAGCTGTTAAAACATAAAATCAATGCTTCAAGTTTAATACTATAAAAATGAATTTCCATAACAAGATGTATAACAGAGCTGCATGGAGCAGAACCAGGGTCCCCCTACACAGGTTTTTCTCCTTTGCAAGCATCAACTGTTTATATTTTATATTACCTGTGCTTAAAAGTGGCTTTCTTAAAACTGCTGAAGTAGCAAACCAGATTTTATCCACTATATTGTTTTTTATTATTAAGAGAAGATTACGATTGATGTTGACTGGCCCAAGCAATAATGATCTGTTTGATGGGCTGTAGAGGTGCTTACGTTTGTTGCAGTGGTTTCCCCTCCAACCAGATGGGCAGTCACAGACATTTGGGTGGACACATTTCCCTCCATTCATGCACGTGGGATCACAGACACCTGCAGGAACATATCAAAGGAAGAATGTGGTGGCTGGGAAATGAGGGAAGGCTTTAGCAGAGACTCACTTGCTTCCCTGCAGCAGGTTCATCTGCTTGTAATTAAAGAGCTGGAAAGTAGTTTGGATTTGGGAATCTGAAACACAGAGGCTTGATAACTCCCATAAATCCTTCCAGAAAATGCTGTGCCTTGTGTGGAAACTCTTCGGGGGAAGCTCCTGCTGTCTCACCAGAAAAAGCAGAGAGGCAGTGATTACAAAGATTCTCAGAAAAGCAAGTGGGCAGGCCAAATGCTTGTTAGAGCTTTCACTTCCTCACTGGAAAATTCCTCATTCATGTTCTCAGATGTTCATTTGGATAAGAAAAGATTTGAAGAGCATAGATTGTTTTCACACAGTTTTGGATATGTTTTTACATTCAACCAAGCCTAAAGACTAAACAGATCTATTCCTCTATTGCCTTTTTGTGCCATTATTTGTTAAGTGACTCACCTTTTGACTTTATTCTTTCATACAAATAAAATCCAAAAGCTGTTCTTTCAACCTAGGGAAACCAGACAATTGTTTGTTGATTTCATTAGGAATCTAATCTCTAATTTTTGATTCTCACATTAAGCTGTATTTATCAGTATTGTCTTAGAACGTCCAGCATTAAAATCTCACTGTTCTGGTAAGTCAAACATCTGCAATCCCAACCTGTGTTGATACAGGTAGACACCCAAATTCCTCTCTCCTGTCTCTCCTTGCCTGTTAGGGTACACGTAGAAAGGATCCATCAGAGGCATTGATAGTTCAGAAATGTGGCAGTGCTGGTATGATGAGAGTGGGAATGATTTGCATTTCACATGAAAGAAGGCATTTGATAAGTGAGTGGAGTACAAAAAGCCATGTTACACAGCAAGTGTCTGGCCTGGGGTATGAGAGCCAAGCCAGGAGGAGTCTGGCAGTGAAGGTGTGAGAACACATTTGTGTGGAATGGCTCCTGCCATGTTTAAAGCTTTACAGACACAGAGGATTTGCCAGTGACTCGTTAACAGCAGTGGTAACCAGTGCCAGCCCTCCCTGCTTGCAGAGATGGGTGGCTGTGGAGCACCCAGCTCCTCCTCAGCAGGGAGCAGCTTCTTGCTTCTGCAGGCACTGAGGGGCTGACAGCTACAGCACAGCATTACAGTGCCTTCATTAGCCTTGAGGCTGTGATGTCTTTTAGCACATCAGCAGTAGGAACAAAACCTGAATACTAATGCTGTAGCAATTCTGATTTTCAAGCCATCACTACATACAGGATTCTGAACTACCCCAAACCTCCCTCAGACCTTCACTGTAGAGGGTGGAATCCTGAAAAGAGCTTCAGAATAGGAATGATTGCTGAAAAATAGCATGCAAAAATACAGCAACTGTTATTTAATGGGAGAATAACTTTCTCTTCCTCCCTCAGGGACCATCGGGCATTTTTAGGTTGGTAGATTTAGGGTCCCTAATTATTCCTCTGATGTACTAAAATATTGCTTTTGTGGCACTTTGGTCTATCCCTTTGGTCCAGATGCTGCTGCACTGGCAGCTTTCAGCACTGTATTGCTGCTCTTGCTTGGCTGCCACATTTGCATTTTGTTCTGTGCCAAGACTCCTGGATCCCTCAGCACAGTGACCTGCCCTGAAGCAGGGCAGACTTGCCCACGCTTATAGGAGCTGTTTGGATTCCAGCCCTTAAACTGTCATCCTCTGTTTCCTTCTTTCTCCATCCCTCCTGATCCATGCTGTAATCTTGGCCTCTGCTTACTAAGGCTAACAAGGGTCCACAGTTCTTGCTGAGCTATCAAAAAATGCTGCAACCACTTGTTAAAACCTGGGATGAGTTCAAAGTGTCATGGCATCCATAACTCTGAAATCATTTAATCTCTTATTTTGCCTCTTCCTTTTTCTCTCCCTTTTGATCTTACATCTCTGATAACAGACTTCTGACCCATGATCCTATGTTGTGTTGTATTTGACTTGGCATCTCAATTATAAAGCAGCTTGGACATTCAGAATTTTTAAAAAAAGATGACCCCAAACCATAAAGTTTGGTTCTAGATTGCAAACGACCTCATGCTTTGTGATATTGATGGACCATAACCTGCTGTCCCAAAATCTATAGGTTTGGTTTTAAGATCATATGAAACCTGTACAACGTCCTTCCTTCACTTCTTAAAAAGTAAAGTCAAGAAAAAGTAATTAAGGACAGTAGCACTTGTTCAAATGGATATTCCCCCCCCTTTTTTTGTTTTGTTTTGTTTTGGGTTTTTTTGGGTTTGTTGGTTTTTTTGATTGTTTGTTTGGTGTACTGGTTTTTTGTTTTGTTTTGTTTTCCTTTTGCCTCTTACCTTTCTGTGTATTTCTAACCTTACACAAAAAATCACATTCCTGGTTGTTTTGTACTGATAGCAGATATTTTAAATTGTACAATAGACTCTTTCTTCAGTTGCAGGGAGACAAATTACTGTGCTTTTTCATTAACTTCTATTTTTCAGCTTGTGTATAACTGCACTTGTTCCAGCTCTATTTTCACTGTAATTTGGCAAAACTTTAGTCAACAGGTGAGGTCCAGTCTTGATCTGAATAAAACACAAGTTCAAACTCGCTTTCAGCTTGGTATCCATTTCTCTCTTTCTTTGTTCAGCTGCCTTACAAACGAGCAGGTAGCTATGAAAATATAGCATGAACTGCCTTTATTACTTATGGCATCTCTGACTTCAGTGATAAATCTAAAGGAGTTCAATTCACAGGGAACTAAGGGTTCAAGTAAGTTCTGAACTGGAGGAACACTTCTGCCTGCCTGCCTTCTGGGGTAGATACTTTCTCTTCTTGCCAGCACCTTCTTCACAGCATCTCTATGTAAATGCATGTAGTGTTATCTCACCCCTTTTCCTGCCTGACATCTCCACCTTGTTCTCCCTTTCTTTAACTTTCTTAAATACAATTCCATCTCAATACCCATCAGGCAGACTTCAACATTTGTTAATGATAACTAGTTCGGATCCTTTTCAGTCCCACTCCTTGGCCTCTGTGGAGGAGTTCCAATTTCAAAATAGCAAACAAAAATGTTACAGCATCTCCCAGGAAAACTAAATAAATTAGCAGACACTAGGAGAGCAAATCAAATTATTGCAATCCTCCCAGGCACTGGCATGACTTTGAAAAGACATTTCTTTTTTTTTTACCCCTCCCTTTAAAAAAGGCCTGGCATCTTGACCCGGAGACAACAGTGGTTTGATAAGTTTTCCATCTGCCCTGGGGTCTGGCTCTAATGACATGGATATAAAACACATTTGTGTCTTCCCCTCGATGCACTTTGGTAGGGTGTATCACTGGGGGTAGGGAGAGTTCTGTACTACCCACACATCCAGAGTGCAAGCTTGCTGGAAGTCAGTGTTACTAAAGCTTTACTCCCATTCCCATGACAGTCAACGCTGACATTTCCACGCAGAATTTCGTATGCAATAGTGACTCAATTCTCTAAAGGACCACGATTCTTCAAGGCCACTGCTTAAAACTAGACAAGACTTCCATAATCTTGTGTTTTCCAAAACTGGTGAGTTAGATAAGGTAAGCCTATGCCGAAGGTTAAAGAAAAAGCATGGTTACGTGTTGTATTTCAGGTGAGGGGTGATTTTGATAAGGTAACAAGCAGCTGCAGGTGTTAAGATAAAACATAGATGTTGCACAGGACATCATACAAAACACGTGCAGGCCCTCTGTGCGATGAAAGGCATTCACAAGTTGCTGAGCTTTCTGTTTTATGCAGCAGCCATTTCTCTTTGATGGCTTTAATGCATTTTGACCTTACAATCACTTAAAATTTCCTGCGACCCTTTTCATAGCTTATCCCCTCCAGGCTCACTTGACCCAGTGAAAAGTGCTTCTTGCAACTCTTTTTATCAACCTCCATGAAGCTCCACAGTTCAGCTCTTCAGCCCTAATACCTCTAAGGTAGTCAGTCCTTCTGCTTTGTCAAAAAAAGGGAAGAATTTGCCTGCAAAATAAATATTTCCAGGGATTACTAAAACTAACCAATGCCTGCAATGTTTTATGTAAAGTGAGGTCTGTCCCTCTTGTGTAAGTAGCATCAGTGATGGACACCCACAATTTCAATGTCTTCCATTGCCTGCCCTCATTTCCATTGATTTACAGTAACAGTCCCCCTGAAATATACAGAGTATTAAGCAAAATATCCCTGCTATGCAAAGCCAAAAGTGACCCTGGGGCAAAGCTGAACACTGGGCGTGCTTTGCTGGACTGCAGATACTAGAAGTGACTCTAACAGTCACACCATTAGCCTGCAGTATCTGCTGACTAGTTTACACTGATTAGAGAAACTCAGACATTTCCTTCAGACTGCCACTGCTTCTGCAGACTATCAGACAAAAAGTTTTTTAGTTGAACCTAAGCCACCTTTTGATGTAAGTACCCCATTAAACCTTTTCTTGCTGAAGGAGATCATGATAACTAGTGAAAGGCTTGTAATGTTTTTGAAATAAAACATTCACCACCACCCTCCTAAAGTCAAAACAGAGGGACTACTAAACCTGGCTCCTAAAATCTTGGCAAAGAGGGATCCTCTGCAACGTTTCAGGAACTGCAACATCCATGTCCTTTCCTGACCATGAGATTACACAGACTATTCCTTTCTGAATCAGAAATGACCTGTCATCTCATATCCTGAGCCAGGCTGCTGATGAGGAGACAGTGTGTCACGCTGCAGTGATAATTAGAAGATGTAGTTTTCAAGACAGCTTTTCTTTTTTCTTTTTTTCCTTTTTTTTTTTTTTTTTAAGATACCCTGTAGAAGCTGAGAGAACTGACCTGAATGCATCCAGCCTTTGGAAGGAAGAGAGAAAATAGCCTCAAGCAGTAACATCTGTGTGGGCCAGCTAAGGCAATGCATCAGGCTGGAGCTTGCTGACAAAGAACACAGAACTGCAGCCAAAAGAACACCTACTGGCACATACACACTTCAAGGTATCCT